ATTAGTCAGACTATTCTGGGCAATACAAGTTCAGTCTCAGAATATAAATAAAAGACAAATTAAAAATATAAATGGGCTGCCAGGCAGTGGTGGTGCATGCCTTTAATCCCAGCACTCAGGAGGCAGAGCCAGGCAGATCTCTGTAAGTTCAAGACCAGCCTCTACAAAATTAGTTCCAGGACAGCCAGAGCTGATACACAGAGTGCCCTGTCTCATAAAACCAAAAATAAATATACAATAAATAAATATACAATAAATAAACAATAAAATATAACTGGATTTTTGCATCCAAGTGGCAAAGTGGCCAGGGCTCTCCCTGAGTTGGGTTCTTTCTATGAAGGCACATCTAAGACAGAAGGTGTGTGGGTGCTGCTGTAGCCAGTGCAAAACACAGCTCTCACCTCAAAGGTGAAAAAAAAATAGTTTATTCCGGAGCCAGATATGAGTGGCTGTGTTCCACAGCCCAGGAACACAGATTTAGGCTGCATAAAACTCCATATTCCAATGTGGTACGACTCCGATGAGGTTTTTATATCAACAGAGCAAAGAAAGTTAAAAAAAATCAAGATTTTTCAAATATCAAATTGATAGCTGCTAGGAGGGCTAAAACACTCAAGGTAACTTGGCTCTGGACTCACAATGTTCCTAACTATTCTTGGTCACTGGGCTCCTAATTCATTAGCTAGCTCTGGAGAAGGTTCAGCTGGAAGAGGCAGCTTCTGTTGTGGAAGACTTGCTCACATCAGCCAGGAAGCCATGACTCCCAAGGGGCTGTCACAGCCTGGCTCCTGCCTTGTTCACATGTTTCTGCCCTTGTCCCCAGTGCCAAGACCATCATTTAACTCCCAAGGCTTCTACAATTACACTTCCACTTGTCATCTGTGTGCTTTGAGGTCTTTGTGGCCTCAAAATGCTTACAGCTGAATCTTGTATTAAGGCACACTTTGTTTCTGCTGGACCGAGGTCGCCATTCCTCCCCAACCTCCATCCTCCAATAGATGCTCTCTCAGAGAACCCCACCAGCCACTCTGTAGCCCGTGAATGTGACCCGGCCAGTAAAGTTAACTTGTATGAGCCTGCCAGTGTCTTGGCTTGGTGGCCCAGGACTCTTGAGTTCTGGGTTGGGATGTCCCCGAAACACTGCTCATCGCTTGGTTGGATGAGTAGGACCACCAAGGAAGCTAGCTCTCCATCAGTCGTGTTCCCAATGCACCTGAAACAGAAGCCATGGGTTTCCCAGACGGGTGATGGAGGGCAGGCAAAGAGCTAGCATATCACACTTCTTTGATCTTGAGAGATAGAACCAAGCCAAGGCAGTTCCAGAGGGTCATAGTAAGCAAATGCTTAGTTCCCATTGGGAAACATCCAGCCAGTGGCCTGGGTACATGCCAAGATTTGGTAGTCTCCACACTGAGGTGCCCCTTTCTCCAGAGCACCCCATCCATCAAGCTCAGTGACCTTCCTAAACTTTATCTCTTTGTGCCCATTTTCTCCTTCAGTACCCAGCAGCTTCTGTCTGTGCTGTCTCAATTCTGAGACCTGTTTCTTTCCGACCGTGCTGCCAAAGAAGAAAGGCATGGGAACATTTGATTCATTGAGGTTTTTCTCTCAATAAATATCCTTGGCTCTTTTTCAAAGATAGTCCTTTTTATAAGAAAGGGATGTTGGAGGCCATTATGAAGGAGAAGGGGCCAAAGGCAAGGTCAGCAGTAGCTGCTTGAGAAAGAACCTTCATCTAGCAATGCACTTTCTCAATTTTCTGCCTTCTGGGTGTGCTGGCACCCGGTTTCTCTGACCAGCAAAGTCTGCATTCCCCTAACTGACCAGTGAGCCCTAGGGGTATCCTCTGGATTGCAAGTGAGTAACACCACTTCTGGGTTCATTTATTTAGTCATTATTTCTGAGACAGAGTCTCACAGTGTTGCCTTGACTGCCCTGGAACTCACTCTGTAAACCAGATTGGTCCCAAACTCAGGGATCTGCTTTCCTCTGCCTTCCCAGTGATGGGATTAAAGGGGTGCACCACCATAGCCAACTCGTGCCTTGTTTTTTACATCAGTGCTTCTGGGGCAAACACTGTGCACTAACTCCTCCCCCCTCCCCCCCTGCCCACTATTTTATAGCTGGAACCATGGGAAGAGGAAGAGGGTATTTAGACCCACCTCTTTCTGGGCAAAGATTTGGTTGATCAGGAGATCAACCAAAGACAGTTGAATGAATAAGAACGGCTGAGCAACCCTGGATAATTAGATTGAATCCATTTACTATTGGGGGAGAGAGAGAGAGCGCGCGCGAGCCAGACCCAGGTGCAGTTACAGGAAGTGGTGAGCAACAGGCTTAGAGGAGAGAAATCAGGAAACACAGTCATAGACTGTATGACTAGTAGTTTCATTTCATCCTTGTGGTCCAGGGCGGTACAGAAGGCTTTTGTTGTTAGTCTGTCTAAGGGAAAACATGACTAACCTTTGTTTTAAGACCGTACCCAGATGGTGTCTAAGAAGAAAAGAGGGCTATGATGTGATATCCAAGAAAATTGATGTAGTGTAGGAAGAGGGGCCCAAAAGGAGGCTTGGATGAGGTTAGTGTAGTTCCTATCATGAAGATTATTGGACTCCCATGAGGAATATTTAGGAGGTGAATTCGCCAGGATTTGGGAGACCAAGGATGCTGCCCTGGATGGACTCAGGTTGAGGGCTGGGTCACTTGGTAGATGTGGGTGTCATTCACCAAGAGGGTGAGAATTGAGGAGGCAGGCGTCTTTCTTTTCCGGGCCTCACTTCCTTTATAGCCCTCTGGTTTTCATAGTTAGATTTCTACCTCCCAGGACGGTACTGTGGAGCTGGGGATGAGCTGAAGGGTTGGCGGAATCGGTTAGTTACGCAAGATGAATGGCAAGTCGCTTATTGTGACTATTCCATACCTGTTCTGGACAAATGTCAGTGTTCTGCAAGAATAAGGTAANAAGAAAGAGAGAGAGAGAGATATATAGAGAGAGAGAGAGAGAGAGAGAGATCCCAGAAGAGAGCAAACAAAGCTGATATCTGCAGAAAAGGAGAAGCAGTTTCAGCTCTTAGTTATACTAGTTGCTTCTACTTACGATGTAACGGTTATAACTAAGAGGGCTGGGGGTGCCTCAGTGGGAAAAGCACTTGGTGTGCAAATGTGAGATTAAAGTTCAGATCACCAGCATCCACATAAATGCTGGGTGTGTAGCGAGCGGCTCATCTGTAATCTCAGTGCTCGGGAGAGGTAGACAAGGCATTCCCCAGAGCAAGCTGGCTAGCCAGACTAACAAAACGGGCCACCCCTGGTGGCCTCAAGTGAGAGGCCCTGCCTCATGAAATAACGTGGAGAGCGATGGAGAACGGTACCTGACGTCCATCACTGGCTTTCACACATACACGCACCTCACACATGCGAACACGCACACACATATGTGTGAGGTCAGAAGATTCCATTTTGGTGCTGGGACCCTGTGGAACTTCGAGCTTCACCCCCACCCCCGAGAAAAGCCGGGGGTCACTAGACCCCTTCTAGGAGAAGTATTGGCTAATAGGAAAAACGCAAGCTACACAAAACTGCTGACAAGATGCTGGCCGCCTAACTTCCCCTATCGGTTGAGTAACAAGGCACCAATCAAATTAGCTTCCAAGCAGCCCTTGTGGTTAGCAAAGGGACAGCAGATGTCCTAAGGACATGACCAGGAGACAGTTGCTATGGGTGAACAACTCCCCCCCCCCCCAGGCCATAACAGCCTATCAGAGAATAACAGCCAAGCTTCACCTAACCTTTAGCCAATTATGATATAGGATAAATAATTTTGCATTTTTGAGACTGTAATCTTGTGGCTGCCTTGTGGTTTTTGTCTTTATAAACCCCTTACGATAATAGGTGGGGTCCTTCTCCCTCCATCTGCTGTGTCAGACTGTGAGGCAGAGGACCCGTGCTAGCCCGTACTTAATAAACGGAACCTTGCTTTTTCATTTGGGAGTGTGGCTCCGTGGTGGTCTTGGGGGTCTCGGGACGTAGGCACAATGTATGCACATACATACAAGGCAAAGGAACAACTTTTTGATCTTGGGTTTTCTGTCACAGCTCAAATGAGATTGATCCTTTCTCCTCGTCCACACCTTGCTCTTGGACCAGCTCCCATGGGCATTTCTGTGACTCCTGCCGTGTGTTCTGAATGGTGGGAGACAGTGCCATCTGTCTCGGAATATCCTACCACCATGAGTAACTTGGTTTTCATGGGGATGGGAGGGAGAGAGTTTTTGGAGATGTCCTTCAAGTTCCCTGTTCGGAGCTAGCTAAGTGAAGGGCTGAAGCACTGTTTCTTCAGGTTCTCACTGGCCCTCTAGATCAGTGGCTCTCAACCTTCCTAATGCTGCGACCTTTTAACCATAAAATTATTTTTGTTGCTACTTCATAATTGTAATTTTGCTACTTTCATGAATCATAATATGAATATCTGTGTTTTCGGGTGGTCTTAAGTGACCCCCATGAAAGGGTCATTTGACCCTTAGAGGGGTTGTGACCCACAGGTTGAGGACCACCGCTCTAGGCCGTGGTTTCCACTCATGAGCCTTAGTGGCAGAGTGCCCAGAACGAGCAATGTCCCTCTCTCGTTAATCATTTCCCTCACGCGTCAACCCTGATGGGTGTGTTGTCTTTTCAGGGAGTTCTATCCTATCTCGGTCAGTTTTCAGGTTGGACCAAAAGCTTACCTGTAACCTTGCTCCCGTCCCTGCACCTGCCCCGGGAACTCGGCCTTCGGAAAGAGTTCTCAAGTCACACCCTGTTTCCTTGGTACTCTGGAAATTATTCTTGAGTCCAAGAAAACCCATCAAACCACGAAGCAGTTTCCATAGCTGGAGGCTCCTTGGTTTCCACCACAGGAGGCTGGAGGGGCACCACACACACACACACACACACACACACACACACACACACACACACGTCAGATTAAGGGTACATCCCTCAGGTACCTCCCTCAGTGCCCGCCCTCTGAGTCAGGCACTACTTTAACCCTCCTCTCTTGGAGCTCTGTCTCCCTTCCTGGTGTTCCCTGTTTTGTTTCTCGAGGGGAAGACAGAAGGAGAGCTCCCTTGGGTTGCCATGAATTCTGCCACCATCAGCTGTGAGTCCCCCAGCTCCTTGGTGAGTGCTGGTCGGGGTAGTCGTGGAGGGAAACAGGGAGGGGAGCTGGAGGGAGCAGCTCTGCCTCCTGACCCCTTTCCATCAGACAGGAGTGGCTCCCCCTCCTTGGCTCCCCCAGGGCCTGTTACCCTCACAATAGACACAGGACTTTCTCTGAGCCACAAACCATAAAGAAAGTGATGGAATGGGGAAGAGGTGGAGGGTGGGGCTGGGTTTCCTGACAACGCTCTCTCTGCTGCTCTTTGCTTCTGCTGGTTTACCAGGTGGTCTCTGCAGAGGAGTCCTTGACTGTTTTCCGGGACCCTCAGCATTAGGCTGCGCTTTCTTTCCAAAGCTCCTTTTGAATCGAGCAAAGGGAAGCAGATGGTCAGGTTGTCATCCTTCCCACCTGACTTAGCAGGTGCTTCTTTCTCTGTTTTACACAAGAGAAACCTGAGGTCCAGGTAAGTCTGGTCACAGTAACCCCACAGAGGCTTCCCAGCATCACTCCACCCGCAGGAGGCTAGGCAAGGCTGCCCTGTGGTCTTTTCTGACCTAGTCAGGGTCAAAAGGAAAGGTCATGTTTGTATCTGCTGGGGCCCCCACAGGCTCCCTGCTTACTGCCTCTTTATTGATCTTATCTGGCTCCTGGAAGGGCCCAGAGCTAAGCACAAAATCTCCACTCCCAGTGGAGAAATGAGAACGGAATACTCTGGGGAAAAACTTGCGTACTCCTAAGTGAAGTTCAATTTTTTTAAAAAAGTAATTTGCTTATTTATTTGCACGCACCATTCCACCGCTGTATCCACTAGCTGGGGCCCATCACCCTCGATGTTCCTGGTGGTCACCTGGGTCTAGCATCCCCCTAAGTTCTAATACCCAGCACATTCGTAGGGGACCAAAAAAATCTGCAGTTCTAAGTGGGGCCTCCTGTCACTCTGCACGGTCCTCATCTCGGGTTGCACTGGCTACTCCTTTAAGAAGGGGCTGTTGTGGTTGCCACCCACAGAGCTCCTTCCTCTGTGACAGCGAACACACTGGGGATCACAGTACGACCCCTCTTCCTTTGGTGATCTCTGCTGGGCCGTGAAGCTTTCCAAAGGCCGGGAATCACAGCCTTTGAGTTTCTGGTAGTTTTCTCCCTAGAAATCCCAGCTTTACGCTCATCTTGCTCCATAAGCTTCTTGAGAAACCCAGCCAGTCCCCTTTTCCTGCTGTTTCTTTTTCTTACCTCTCTCGATTGCTATAGCATTTCACAAGCCCAGTTTGCGTCCCAGCCTAGTCACCTTGCTCCGTGGATCCCCGCCTTCTTTTGTAAAACCATGGGAAGCTCCGTGAACTCACACAAGCCTGGGACCAGTCCAAGGTCCTGGCTGAATTCTCTTCTTTCTTAATTCTCAAACTAACACAGGCTTACGCACCCTGGTAAACTGGACACCACTCACCACTTCTCTCCTGCTCGGTCCCTTCGCTATTATTTTTTTCCTTCATCTCTTCTTTCTCCTTGTTAGATTTGTTCCCCCGGCTTGAAGTTTTTGGATTCCAGGAAGAGCTCTTCACCACCAAACTATTTGTATTCTGCTTTCCTGTGATGGTCCAGCCAGCCAATACCGTCATCTTATCCTTCATTCTCAACTCTCCCCATCAATGTATAAGCTAGCAAGGGCAATAGTGTGTGCAGTTTTTGTTGATTTTTTTCCTGTTATAGTTCTTCCTTACTTTTTTTTTTTTTTTTTTTTTTTTTGTTTTGTTTTGTTTTCCGGGGCAGATAGCACAGCCTCAGGAGCATTACCGCCCACAGCAGGAGCAGGAAAACTTCTGCCGCTCCCTCTTGGTCACAGTTGGTCTGTACCTCTTCAGAAACTGCAGCGTATTCTCTGGTCTGTCAGCCATCCTCTGGGATGTCCTTGTACTTTCTTGGCGGGCCACATTTATCAGGGAGACATGGAATAACGAGGAAGCCAGTCCCGCTGGGATTTCTCCCACTGACTTTCCACCCCGACTTCCCACTGTGCAGAAAGCTCAGCCTCGGTCCATGTCTTAGGAGCCCTAGCAACTGTGACTCCAGCAAAGAGACACAGAACATGGAGCGGCACTAAGGCGGAGTCGTGGGGGCCACCGTGAGGAACGTGAAAATCCCAGGAACTGGAAAGTAGGGAATCATCTAGGTCAGGCAGGCGGGACCTGAAGGGAGGAAGGAATGGGCACTTTGTGGCGCAGATGATGCCCGAGGAGGCAGAGGACCCACAGCAGTCCTCGCTGCACCGGAGCCCCTCCCCCTCTGCTCACGTGCTCCTGAGAGCCAAAGCCCCATCCCTACCCACCAGACCATAGTTCCTTCCCTGCACTATGGAAGAGGAGGTGGCTTACTCTGGACAAACCCAGGAGCTTCGCTCGTTCTCAGACTCATCATCTGTCAGTGGAGTGGGGATGGGAGTAGTGGGACAAGGTGGAGGTGAGACCCCAATGAAAGGGTCCATTGGAACCTCTGTGTTCATCAGAATGTCTTTTTGATGGAGTCGTTCAGTGAGATCAAAGACTAGACACTGAGCTGAGAGACGTACCTCCAGCTGGAAGGGGTGATCTGTCTGCTCATGCCATTGCGTGACATCAGGGAAAGCTTCATGAAGGACCCATTGCTCCTCCAGGCAGGGCTCACAGGCTGCTCCGCACCTCATGTGCGCAGCTCCTGGTCTCCTCTGGTTTTCCTAGTATTCCGCCATGTCTTGAGCTGGGACACCTGCCACATTCCTTTGAGACCATCTCTCCAGTATCTCCGGTGTGTCACCCGGTTCCATAAATATCTTTAGTGCACCAGCACTTTGTGGCTGATACACAGGACTGTAAGGTACCGTGTCCCCCCGCTGCTTCCATTTCTGTGCCCCGCCTCTTTGCCTAGATAACTTGGGGTAGTTCACAGCAAAAGGCACACTTTCAAACAAGTGTGAACAAGATAGAAAAAGCAAAGCAAATACGGAAGGAACAAATGTATTTGGAGAAAGGCTTATCGCTGAGCTCAAAGTATTGTCTTGGGCTCCTCTTCGTACCAACCTTGCAAGTCTCAGAGACTCATGCAAGTCACAGACTTTATCACAAGAGACTAACAAGCTATATTCAGTGAGGATGTTTTCCTGGGCTCTGAGCTCCTTTTAGGTAATTTTTACCTAAAAATTGTTGGTGTTTGACCTGCGTGCATGTCTATGTGAGGGAGTTGGATCCACTGGAATTGGAGTTACAGGTGTTTGTGAGCCGCCAAGTGGTTGCTGGGAATTGATCCCCGGTCCTCTGGAAGAGCAGTCAGTGCTCTCAACCACTGAGCCATCCCTCCAGCCCCTAGGCTCTCCCTTTAAAGTGGGATATCTGATGTCAGATTAGTTTCTCCCTTGACTGATTTGAAGCAAATACAGAAGTAGTTTCTCTAACTACAAGATGGCTTGTGTGTGTATAAAGAACGTAGGTAATGCCAAGGACCTCAGATTGGCAAATACCTTTGACTGACTCCCAGCCTGTCACTGTGTTCGCTGTCCCTTCACCTTCCAGGGAGTCCCGGAGGTCCTGGAAAGAGTGTGTGGTGAATTTGCTGGCTGAAGTCGCGGAACTAAAGGATTGCGGCCTGAGAGTTCATTCCCTTATAGGCTGTGCAAGGCACTCCCACGCCACGCAAGGTGGAGGCTGGGAGCACCCCAGGGGTGTCCTGGATGCTAAATAAGACAGTGGCACCTAGGGTGGTCAGTTGTGCCAGGAGTGACAGGTTACATGTGTCCAACCCTTCTCCCTTGTGTTTCTTTCTTTGAATTCCCCTACCGGAGTAGTCAGCTGGTCTCTCGGAGGCTCTCTCTCTGTTTCCTCTTTCCCGCGATTCCTTTCTCAGTGGCATGCCCCTCACAGATGCTTCCGTAACTTCACTAAATCCTCACCAGATGTGTCCAGAGGCAGCGCTTCTTCCGGCAGCTTCTCCTCTATCTCCAGTCCAGCTTTGACCCTTGAAGGAAGACAGACTTCTTCCAGGTACAACCCAAGGACCATGCGGTGTCGATACATCCGGACAGATATGAGATCCCGAAAGGTCTCCAAATAGATAAAGGCAGAGAGTTAAAAGCAATATGCAAAACAAAGCCCACTCTTAGACGACTTTCACAGTCATTCCTTGATAGTATTTGCCCACCTGCTTCATCAGCTCAGCGAATGCCCACACTGCCCAAGAATGAAGCAAGACTCTTACGTTTCTGATTTAGAGCCCAATGGGAGAAGACCTGCGAGCAAATGTTTTAGGTGGGAGCAAATAGTTCCCCAGAGCTGTGCTGAGGCTAGCTCAGGAGACTCCATACCGGGAAGTAGGAGGCTAGCTCAGGAGACTCCATACCGGGAAGTATGAGGCTAGCTCAGGAGACTCCATACCTGGAAGTATGAGGCTAGCTCAGGAGATTCCGTACCGGGAAGAATGAGGCTAGCTCAGGAGACTCCGTACCGGGAAGTATGAGGCTAGCTCAGGAGACTCCATATCAGGAAGTATGATGCTGGTTTATGGCTCCCTCCCTCAATGTGCTGCACTGGGCTTTCCTCATGATCGCTGTTGAGGGGCTCATGGGTACACACTAGGAAGGAGTCAGGTTGAGTATTTGCATTCTACCCCTGTGGAGGATCTGACTTCTGCGCCTTCAATGGCACAGTGGTGTGGCTTCTCTCTCCACATCCCCATCCTTGCCAGCCAGCACTTCCCCTAAGTTAGCCCTTTCTTGGGGAAGGTGGTTACTGCTATTACAGCAATGGGGAGCAGTGACTTCTTGGCCCCTATGAGTCATTGGCAACGTCCAGAGATATGTTGGGTTATCACAGCCAGAAGAGAGGAGGGGCCAGGGAGGGTGCTGAACATAACACAGTACATAGGTCAGCCACCTCTAGCCCGCCCCCGTCACAGGACACACAAAGAATTATCTAGTCCAAAGTGTCAGCAGTGCAGCGAGGTAGCGAGACCTCACTTAGGAAACAGCAGTCCCCATTGTTTGTAGAGATGCTTTCTAAGACTCCAGCAGAAGCCTTGCTGACACTTCAAGCAGTGCTGAACGGTATCGTTTCTCTCTATAAACACACATCTAAGCGTGTATTCGTGGTGTGTGTGCGCGCGCGCGCAGGCATGTACTTTCTCCTCTCCACCTCGCAGTGCCATCACGTGGTACCCATGTGTCCTCCCATGCCCCGTCACATACCACTCTTGCACGCTGGGGTCCTAACTGAGAAAATGAGAGCTGCCTAACTACAAGTCCTGTGATTCAAAGGCAGTTGGTCCGACATCAGGGACAGCTACTCCGTGAGTAATCAGGAGGCAACACGTATCGTGTGTCTATGCAGAATAAAGGCTAACTCTCTTTCCAGGCAGCGTGGGAAGGTCTGTGTAGGATCCTGTCCCACTGCTCAAAACGATGCAGTTTGAAATACAAAGCTTAGCATTGGAGAGGCGGCTCCGGGGTTCAGAGTTACTGCTCTTGCAAAGGGACCCAAGTTCAGTTCTTGGTGCCTCTGTTGGGGAGCTTCCAAACCCAGGTATTTCTAGCTCCAGGCTGACACTCTCACCTGACCTCCATAGGTACTTGTGCTCATGTGCACACACACACACACACACACACACACACACACACACATGCATACACACACACGCACACTTAAAAATGACAAAAATTTAAAATGTAAAGCTTATGAACATGTTTCTTTATGGAATTTTCCGTTTAATATTTCCAGGCTATGGCCGGCCTTGGCTAACTGAAACCTTGGAAAGATATTTTCAGTTAAGAATGGGCAGGGTATATGGGCGTCTGCTCTGTAGGGATGACACTTTCTGGAGCTGCTGTGAACAGCTACATAGTTTTTCTCAGCCGTCCACATCTGATCAAGCTGCTAACCACCATCTCACACTTCTCTGGAGTAGAGCCATGGATCCATTAGATAGAGAACACACAGAGCTCCGGTCCTTGATATTTTAGAAGTTCATGAAGATATTTTCATTTGTTTAAAAAAAGAAATGGAAAAGGCTAGTGGTGTAGGTCAGAGTGGACCTGGCCCAGGGGAGGCTCTGGGTTCGATCTCCAGTGTTGCTAAATAAATACTTGGATGAAAAAATTCATTTTGAAGGCATTTAGTACATGACTCACTTTCCTACTGAGATAAGCCACAAATATTTTAAATATTTTTCCTGGGAAGGAAGGGGCATACAGGGTCAATGTGCTTCACGCCGGTCCAGAGGTCACGAGCTGCCACTGCTCCAGGGATGTTCTCTGAGTGGGGCTGCAGTGTGGGACACCCAGGTGTGGAGAGAGACTTGGAGGAAGTGACTTCAATGACCTGGCAGGTCTGTCTTCTGCTGTCCACACTACCCTTAGGGCAGCTCTGGCTGTGCCATTGCATAGACCCTGCACCCTGTGGTCTGACCAGGGCCCTGGGGCTCCCCTGGGGGCACATCAGCTAGAATGACTTGATCCGCGTGCTAGTGGCCACACCAGAGATAACGTTTTCAATGGTCCTCTACCTCCAACCAGATGTCTCAATGTGAGCCACAAGCACATGTCAGCCCTGCCATTTATGGAAGGTCATAGTGATCACAATAGTTAATGTTTATTGGGTGATTGCGCTGTGTCAAGCCCTGAACTGTGTGCTTTCTTTGTGCTGCAAAGTGGTTTTCTCAACCACCTAGATTAATTAATACAGATGAGAACATTGAGACAGAAATATTATTGATTTTCCCAAAGTGAATAGGCAATGCAGTCAATAAGTCGGAATAAAAATCTATAATCCCAAGTTAGTTTTTAGTTAAACTGTGGGAATACAGATAGACTGTTGGGTCTGGATTATTCTCTGTACACGGCACCCATCTGCACTAATCTGTCATTTTCATTCAGTTCACACTGATGATGACAGAGACTTCACAACAAGCTGGGATGATAAAGAGAAGCAAGCTTCTGATCGCTCTTCCTCGAAGTTCCCTGAGTCATAGACGAGGAGCTGTGATACAGAGGCGTCCATTGGAGCTGGGCTCTCCATAACCTGTGGACCTCTGTATCGTGTCCAGTTATGGTTTTCTGTGATGGCCTCCATTTGCCAAGAGGTGGTAGCTACGCTTCTCTGTAGGTATTTAGATTTAGAATAAAGAACTATGCTGGTCTAGTGAAATGATGGTAGTAGGTGTTGTTCGTTTGTTTGTTTTCTGATGGCCATGATCTCACTAGCCCTGGGAAGCTGGCTGGGTTTCTAGCAGCGGGCACAGTCTCCCTCCTGTGTATGGCCCTTGAGTGCAATTAGACAGCGGTTGGTTGCCACTGGCAGATGTCTGCCACCTCTGTGGATATCTGGCCCTGCTGGTCATTGTCGTGGCTCATCGGTGTTGATACTGGGCACTGCGTAGCCACTTTCCTCCCATCTCAGCTTGCATAGCATTTTCTGGAAGCATGGAGGCCAGATCATAGGAAAGAGGCTTTTCAGGTCCGATTCAGCTCAAATCATTTGAGTCCTGTGTCCTGTGCGTGGTGTCCACAGCCATAGGGGCCAGGCACACCCTCCCTATTTTTTGACTTTAAGGCGTGCTCCCGTCTTCTTCCTGGCAAAGCTGTCTCTCTGCCAAGGCTTTGGGTCAACACCCTCCCGCCCCCTCTCCACAGCTCAAGACTTAAGATTCTTTAACACAAATGCCTAACGTAGGAGACAAGGTGGCACTGTTCTTTCTTTCTCTGTCTCTGTATTCCTCAGCTGGCTAGCACCGCTGATCCCGGTCCTAGGCCTCCTGTGTCTGGAAGGGTGTCCCGCCATGTGGCTGAAATCAGGAAATATAGTAGCTTTCTCCCGGAGTATCACACGTGCTCTTTTCTTGTCTCCGCAGAGGGTCGACGGTGTGCCCAGTTCCCACACTAAAGGCCAAGGTGAGAGGCAGGATGGGCAGCTGAAGGATCCTAGCAGCAGTCACCTGGCCTATGGCATTCTGGACAACCCACCATGGTATCTCTGCATCTTCTTGGGGATCCAGGTAAGACGACCCAGCCAGAGCATGGGATCCAAGGCAGTTCTCTGTCAAACAGCTACAGATCTAATTAGTCAGCTGCCATCGCATCCACATCCATCCCAGCTCCGTGAGCATGTGAGGATGAGCGCTGACTTTGAAAAAATGATGCTGGACCATTCTCATTTGAGTGGGGGCAACTGGCTGGGTTAATGATCCGCTTCACTTAGGTGAGGCTCCCGAGAAGGCAGAGAGAGGCACCAGCTGAGCATCTTCCACAGGGGTGGTGCTGTCGGCGGCCTCTCTGTTTCAGCTTTGGCGAATGGCTATTCTAGGATCAAGAGGTTTGTTTGATCACAGAAAGGAGCCGGCCCTGGTAGGTGGTGTTCACCACGATTGCTGGACAGGCCAGAGGAAAAGGAAACAATGGTGGATTCGAGGCCCAGAGAGTGCGGTGGTTTCTACTGGTCTAGCTGGTGGCAGGCCAAAGGAGCCTGTGTAAGATGCTATCAAGGATGGGTGGGGCGGGGGAGGGGATAGTTTAAAAGTTCTGTTTGCTTAATGTGTGGGGCCCTGCATCCAGTCCACAGTCTCACCAAAAAGGGTTGTAGAAGATTAAACTTGTGTTATTTTCCAAGGGATCGTGGGAGAGCGTGAGAATGTGCCTTGGAATGGTCATGCTTTCTTTTCTGAAAACTCTGTCCCCTTCCTTGGAGCAGCTAAGCTGTCTTTGGCCATCAGTGGTTTGTGTAAGCTGCCAGGGAGTTTAACATCTTTCCTGCTTCCAGTATACTCCACCCCGCATCTGTCAAAGTGCGGTGCTGGTCATATGGTTTGGATTATCCCAGAACACCTGTTGAGGGGATTAATCCGTATCTAATCCATTGGTTGACTGGTGCCTTTGAGACATAGCTCGATATGGTGACAAGAGCCGGAGCTGCCCCTTAAAGACCCGTGGCAGTTTATTTCTTGCCTGCTACCCTCCCGCTATGCCCACCTACATGACCAGGAGATGTGGAGCCCTCTATCCCTAGGAGGAGTAGAAGGAGGGAGAGAAATAGATGCGTACAAAAGGTCGGGTTTGTGTGGGGCTGGACACTTGGTATGACTCCAAACAGAACTAGCTGCAGCCTATGAGTGAGCTGTTCCCTCAGCCCAATCGGACCGACGGTTCCGAGGCCAGAGTGTGTGAAATAGTGGCTCATTCCCATGCCATATTAATTTCTATCTATCTCCGGTTTGTCTACAACCTACATCCATCTGTTTATCCCCTTGGTAGCAGAGGCTGAATGCAATGACTTCTAAGCTGCTCTGAACTCTGGATCTGCTAGGTGGGACTCGAGTCTTTGGCCAATAGCTCCAAGCTCACACTGGGGTCCTCCTTGCTCATACCCACCCTTGCTGTGATCTTATTCTTAAGGCCGCACCTTAGTCCTATTTTATTCCCCTGTCCCTATCTTAGTTTCTGTCTCCGGGCATCAGTTCCCAACACAGTGACCTTGTGCTCACAGCCCAGTCTCTCTGGTTGGGTCGCAGCTTCTTAAAACAGAACTTTCTAGTACTCATTGCTCATCGGGATCTTCGCCTTCCCCTCACTGTCAGTCTCTGGGGGACCAGGGGCACAGTTTTCAGTCCTGGCCGTGGGTGGGCGTTCCTGGGAACGACGTGCTTCTGCCTTGGAGGATGAAGATGCAGTCTACAGCATCCCCATACCCTCCTCCTTCTCTGTCCGCAGCACTTCCTCACAGCCCTGGGGGGCCTCGTGGCTGTGCCGCTCATTCTAGCCAAGGACCTCTGCCTGCAGCATGACCCCCTGACCCAAAGCTACCTCATCAGTACCATGTTCTTCGTCGCGGGCATCTGCACCCTTTTGCAAGTGTTCTTAGGAGTCAGGTAGGTAAATTGCTCTCCGTGGATTATGAGTTCTACTGGCTGTGATACCAGCCAGGGTCTGCTTGGATGCTGCTGGGATGAGAGGAAGCTGGCTGGAGCGAGGAGTAAGAGATGATCTAGGATGCTTGGTAAAAGGAAACAAAATTCCATCTTATATTGGGGGAGATGTGTTCCTTCCTAGCTTACAAAATTAAGCTAAGAGAAAGGCAGGGGACATGAGGAGCCACGGGCTCAAATGCTACAGGGCACTCCTCTCTCTCTTTCTCGGTCTGTCTCTCGCATGTGTGTCTATGTGCATGTTCGTTTGAGTCCACATGTATGTCCCGGTGCACATGCCTATGAGTGTGTGGAGGGCCAAGCATACCTTCAGGCATTGTGTCCCAGGAGCCATTCATTTTATGTTTTAAGGCGGGATCGCTCGGGGGCCTGGAACCCTCCAAGCAGGCTGGCCTAGCTGGCCGTCAAGCCCCAGGAATCCACTGGCCTCTGCCTCCCAGTGCTGGGATTATAGAGCACCCCACTACACCTGGATTGTTTTGGGGGGAGGGGGACTGAATTCAGATCTTTATGTTTGTGTAGGAAACACACTTTGGATTGAGCCGTCTCCTCCGCCCTTGCAGCTCTCTGTTTGCTCAGGCCAGTCTCAAATGTTTGTGAGGCCCTTGATAAGGATAAGCCAATGAGGACTCAGACACTCCGTGGGTCGATGTTAGAGAGTTGTAAATCAAACTGACACACTGTGCGCTGAACTATGAACCCATCATCCTATTTTGAAGGCCCGAGTTGAACTGAGGTCTCTCTGCAGCTCAGTGTGGACCCTGGCAGTGCAGATGCCAGCCTCCAGGCCGTGGCCTTCTTCCTTCTCTTCCAACCCCTGTCTTTGGTCCAGATCCCAAAAGGTCTCCCACGCATGAAAGGGGACGCTCTGGCCTGTACATCCGTGCTCCACCTGGAGAGAACAGAGTCCCCTAATAGCTACCCCTAGCCATCTTTAGGCCTAGGGTTCACAGCTTCTCACCGTTAGCTTTTATGAGGCTGGCCTGGGAGAGCGAGGCAAACTCAGGGAGAGGCAGAGGACCATTCGAGCAGAGGATCTTGGGAGACCTGGGGAGAGGTGATGGAACTGGGCTGAGTCCAAATGCGATACTTTTGGGCTATGAGTGGAGGGCGGGAGCCGTGAGTGAAACCTGGAGAACCAGGTACACAGAGACGGTGGAGGCCTAAGAAGATGGACATCCCAGCCTAAGGAAGAGAAAGAACCAGTTCACCCTCCTGTTGTCTTTTTGTTCTGTTTCGAGGAAACAGTGTCTGTGAGGAGCAGTGTCGTTGCTGCTGAGCGATCGCCAGGCTTTTCTGGAAACACCCTCACAGATGCACTCTGACGACTAACTATCTGGCCATCCCTAACTCAATCAAATCAATACATTAAATTAAATTACTAGACATCTCTAAGGCTCAGGGACCATTATAAAAGAGGGGCTTGCAAATATGTGGGAGCTGGAAGACAGAAGGGCTGTGAATCTCATTCTCGAGACTCCACAGGGCCATCACAGTTACGTGCTCACAATAACTGTTCTTTCCTGAACCGTTCACGCAAGACTGGCGGAGGGGCTCGCAGGGCTTTACCCTCTACTGCTGAACTCTGGGTAGCTTGTGGGAGAGGGCAGTCATTGTCTCCAGTTGTATATCCACTGCAGAGTCCACCAGGCTCCAGTGGGTAGCTCCAAAAATAGGCAGCCCTAGTTCAGCTTAGTGGACCACAACTCAAGCCAAGAGAGGTGGATGTGAAAGAGGTTTGCAGGAAAGGGCGGGATCTTGACTGCCACAATATGGAGGGCAGGGATTGTAAGTTACTGTCTGGGAATCCCTCTCTTCGGAACCCTTCCTTTTCTGCACTCCTCCTTCCGCCAAACCCATTGTATCCAGTGCTTCCGCCTTTGATGTTTTCTTAGCACCTGGTCCTGAGAACAGATAGCCAGTTTTGAATAGCCTGATGCTGCTATAGTTTTTGGTGTCATCTTTAGGAAAAAGCACAGGAAATTATGAATACAAAATTATGTAAAAACAAGAATACTTACAGGAAAAAGTAATCTACAACAGCAAATCACAAAATTCACCTTTTTTTTTTTTTTTTTTTTTTTTTTGGTTTTTCGAGACAGGGTTTCTCTGTGGCTTTGGAGCCCGTCCTGGAACTAGCTCTGTAGACCAGGCTGGTCTCGAACTCACAGAGATCCGCCTGCCTCTGCCTCCCGAGTGCTGGGATTAAAGGCGTGCGCCACCACTGCCCAGCTCATCTTATTTTTTATATTTATTTATTTTTAGTATCATTATTTTTGTACATGCATGGAGGCGTGTGTGTCTGTGAGCACACATGTACCAGTTAGAAAAGGATGCTGGGTATCTTCTTTGGTCTACCTTATTTTTAAAGACGAGGTCTCCTTCTGAACCCAAAGCCCACCATTTTAGCTAGGCTCACTGCCTGGCATTCCCAGGTCTGTCTGTTTCTGTTTTCTGTTCCTTCATTGCTGGGGTTACAGAGGAGGATGGAACTGCCATCTGTGTCTTTACAACTTAGTGAATTGAACGTGGGGGACTTCCTCAAACCCCCAACACAAAGTCAGGACTAGAATTCAGGCTGCAAGTGTCCACACCCACGGCTCTTTCACAATCAAAATGATGTTTTAGTTTTGGGGTGATTTGTCATTTTCTCTTCCCTCTTCTGTCACCATCTCTGTGAGCTTGCATTTTCCCCAAAAGTACAATGAAGAAGCCAAAAACTTATCAAGTTGATTATAGTTTACATGTTAGGGAACCCAGACTCCTGCCCCTGCCAGGGTTGGCCCTGGGACTAAGAAGTCACAGTAGTCACATCCCAGAGACTTGATGTCCCTGGCTGGGTAGGAGCCGCCTCTCACCCTGCCCATGGAGAGTTACCTGCCCTTATGATTGGAGCAGCCCACTCCCCCAAGATTCGGAAGCTGTTCGGTTTTTAAGGAAAGTCTGTAACTGTGCCTCCTTTCAAAGTTTATTTTTGTCCATTTCATTCATGCTTCTATTGCATTTTGGTTATTGTCACCGCTCTCTTGTTCTTCTCCCATCTCCTGACCCACTCACCACTCCTAGCTTGTCTTCTCTTATATTTTCCCTTTTTTTTTCTTTTTCTTCTTCTTTTCTTCCTTTTTTGGTTTTATTTATTTATTTATTTATTTATTTATTTATTTATCCCAACCAGTTTCCTCCCCCAGTTCCTCCCCACCTCCCCTTCATCAGGGCTGCTTACAGAGCACAAGTGAGGGCTCACTTGCTGGCAAAGCATGGGTGCCTTGCCAGCGACTCGACCACTGAAGCAAACATCCCCCCCACCCGCAACCTTAGTTACCAGCAGCTCCTCCAGGAGTCGTTGAGGCCCTGTGAGTCCCTGCCCCACCCACGGCAGAATGTTGGCAGGACCAAACTTGCTACTGTGAGGTCGTGGTGCCACGGCTGTGTCCCGGCTACAGACAGCATGTCCCAAAGGTCCCTCTAGACTGGACCGTCATTCTGTCTCTCCTCCTGCACGACCTTCCCTGCTCCTTGAAGTGAGTGATGGGATGAGGACTCTAACAGCTCCTAATTCTCAGCATTTCCATCAGTTATGAATCAGCAGTCACCCCTCACCCACCATGACGACAAGCTTTTCTGGCAAAAGCTGAGAGCGCCCCTAATCTATGGGCATGCATATAAATATTGAGAAAGCAGGTTGATGAATACGTCACATCCCTTTGATACCGTGAATTCTAATCAGGGGAAAGCTTAAGGTTCAAATTCCAGTCCTGGCTTTAGCTGTGGGAATGGAAAATCACTTGCCTTCACTAACTCTGGGATTTTCTTATTTGTCCAATGAAATAATTGATTGGATAATATCCCAAAGTCTCTTTCATTTCTACTACTATAGGATAGTAGATTGAGTATATCTCGGCTGGTTACAGGAACGAGTAATCCTAGTAGCCTTGCTATCTAGGTGTTCTTTACGCTAATAATGAGTCAAGGCTCAAGGGATTCAAGGAATTCATACCCCAGAAAATAAAATTAAGAAGTAGATCATGCTGGCATCATCGGACTATGTGGGAGTAGACAAGCTGAGCTTGGCCCCACCCATGGAAATGCGCTTCCCGCTCAGGTCCTCGTGAGTTACTGTCCAGGAACCGGAGGCTTTGATAATGAGTTTAGGACTGAATCAAAGGCCAAATAGATCGGGTTAATCAGTGATAATGCAGTAAGATTTCGGGAAAACAAGTCAAACCTAGTTACAAAATGGTCAAAGAATTCCAAGAGTCCTTGCCTCCTGCACCTGACCCGAGAGCTGGGAAGGACTTTCCCAGTGTGGGGCGGGCTGGCGGCTGTAACCCTTGACAACCCTCGCAGCAGCGTCTGTAGGAGCGTGACTCTGGGGCTCTCGCGTGTGCTCCTTGACTGACCGAAACTCACTGGGGTTGTAAAATGAGATAAACCATTCATTTCAAAACAGTATTGTTGCGTTTAATCTCTGGAGGAAGTAAAAGGTCGTCTGTGTGGAGCTTCAGATTTAGCTCTGCCTCTGGCGCTGCTGTAATTTTAACCTGGGGATTTCTGCGGGGGTGGGGGTGGGGTTCAGGCCATCCCTCTCTCTTGGAATGCTACAAAAGGAGAAACCATTCCTGTGCCTAAGTGCTTCCAACTCTTCACACCGCCGTGCTCCAGAGACTCCCTCATCCATGCCTTGATGCAGCTCTGTTCCTGTCCTTGGTTCTGTTACCAAGTTGTTAGCATCAGACCCTGCAGCCCTGGCAACCAAGGCTCAGCCACCCATCCTCAGTAGGTCAACTAGTCAGACTGAAAAAAACAGATAAAAGATGTTTATTCCACGTGACTACGTTGGGAAAAAGGAAAGAGCCCCAGTGACACTGTCCCCTTGGGAACTCCAGCCCCTGGGACTTGACATGAGGTTTAAGTTAGAGATAAGAGACAGGAATAACTAAGTA